CAGTTTGAATGCCAGGATTCTTGTTGGTAAAAATCTGCTTGTAAAAGTGTTGAATGTATAGCCATTGTTTCAGAGCACCTATAGTTTGGGCGTGGTCATGAAAGTGATGGCTGCCTTTGCATTCCCTTCCTTTGGTTATTAACAGTTAGCAATGTCATTGCTTCTGAACACCCCTTGTATGTCTTGGGCGTTTTGTGCTCCAGGAACTTTGTGTACATGGGTTGCATTTGGTAACCATCTTATTGCACATGGCCAGGTTCTGGGAGGAAATGCTCAGAGGCTAGCAAAACCATGGCTAGCTTGCAGCTCAGTGACACGTGCAGTGAAATTCTGGCCCTACTGAAGTCCCTGAGAGTTTGGCTGATGGATCCCCAAATTGTAACATGCTCCTTGTAAGTTTGAAGAATGCTTAGGCCAATGGCTATTTGTTTAGTTTTAACTTGGTGCAGACACTAAGAAGAGTGGCAGGGGCTGTTTGAAGGACTTGAGGTGTATGTCCCTTTGGAACTTTCACACTCCATGAATCAAGCTGTTTTGGGCACTCTTACACATCTTGCATGTGCCAAATTGCCACTGGCTCTCAGGACTTCTGCTTGGGGAGAGTGGTGCACATATACCTTGATTCTCTGGCCACTTCCTTGAGGCCAAGAGGACTCTGACTCTTCTTTGCAAAATAGGATGATCACTCCCTGTGTGAAAGTTACTTGGGTCTGTGGCTGGATCTTAGTGGGCTAGATGACAGAACAAGTCTGGTAATCAAGACTGAACAGATCTATGGCAGATGAAAAACCTCTGTCTGCGTGCTTTTCAGTCACAGTAGAGGATTGTACAAATATCTGAGGCAGCGGTAAATCAGGTTCAAAGTAAGGTGCTGTTCATCACACTGCATCTGTATGAGGCAGTGAGAAAAACTATAGAGGATTATGACACTGATGACAGAGAGGAGGTGTTTAAAAGGGCCAGTGCAGGAATGACAGACAACAATTGTGTATTGCTAAACTCTCAACTCTGGTGCTGGAGGTAGGTAGTGTTCTTCACCAGGAAACTGGAAAGTCTGTAAGTTGTATGTGTCTTTAGGGGGCATAGACTCTTTTGGCTGCTCCTCATCCCTGATTGGGATGAGACACGCCTTATCTGTGTTTGGAGTGATTACATATATGGAGATGATCTCTCCAAGACACATGCCTAGATCAAAAATCACCACTGTGTGTTTGGGGACAGTGGCTTGTCCCGAGACAATGTAGAAGAGTCCCACGACCCAGGATATTTATACTTTGGCTCACTTGTAACAGCCAAACAAATATTGTGGTCTTTTGGTAAAGCGATCTTGGAGGCTGCCAATAACTGGGGGAATCAATCCTGGGTTCATGGATTCTCAGGCAGTTCTTTGACTGTAGCCGCCATCTGACAGTTCATTTGTACTAGTAGGAAGTGTGGGCTAGTGTACCCTAGCTCACTCTGGGCACTGCTTACAAAATTCTCAATGGGAAAGATGATAAGCCTATCCTATTGGCTCATTCACTGTCTGAGACAGAAGGCGGCACAGAGAGTTGCCTGACCAAGTAGGTGACTTCCTGGCTTCGGAGCCTGGCCTTGTTCCTTACTCCTGACTTCTTGTCCTGATTCACATCCCTGCTCTTATGCCATGCCCTAGGCTACTGTCTCTCTCTGACCCTTGGCTTGACTCCTAACTCTTGCTCTGACTATGTACTACTTTTGATTGCCTACATCCCAGTCTAACTGGCCCTGCAAAGCCCAGTAAGAAGTCAGTAAGGGTCTGAAGAACCTTGAATACCTTTTAAAGTTAATGTAGTCACTGTGACATGAGATTTATAGATTAGGTGTACCCAGTATGGCTCCTATGCAGGAAAAGCACTGAAGTGCATGCCTAAAGTGGACTGTTGAGTTAGAGACTGAAAGATTGTTTTAGAGGTCGAAGTCCCTCTGAAGTAGCACACCACTCTCACCTCTGCTATCTGAGGTAGCACACCACTCTCACCTCTGCTATCCTTTCCCTCCTTCCATTTTGTAGACATCGATCAGTGCAATGTTCAGGGATGTGGTACACTAGGGAGACTGAACTATGATTGCTACAAGTACCCTACTAACTTAGGTGCTTGCTGAAGATCAGGTTCTAATCGTGGTTTTATTCATGAGAAACCTAGCAACTATTAACAAACTTTGGGTTGGTGACTCCCTCTGAATTTCTTACTCAGAAGAAGGTAGAGGAATCAGTAACAAATGCCTGGCCCTTTTCCTGGGAGCGTGTGTCTTTCTGATATGCATCTATGCATCCAAGACCACTAGGATTTGGGAAACCTGAGGGCATTTTGGGAATCTGTTACTTTTAATTTTTCTGTTCTCATTTCCCCAGAAAGCAGTATTTTAGCATTTTAGACATGGTACTGATCCTTTGGTTATTGAAGGGGCACCTCCAGCAGGGTTGGGCTCCTGCGTAGTGCAACTCTGGTTGTGTGCCTGAGGGTTTGTTGGGTTTACGATGCCCTCCACCCTGAGCAAATGATCCAGCCACAATGACTGAAGGCAAACCCTGGAACAGCTTCATATCTGATAAGCAGCAAAATCCGCACTCTGGAGATAAGATCCCTTTTTAGTATAGGCAGTTCTACAGCCCTTCTGCTCTCTCATTAGGGTTCTACTGCTCAACTTTAAACCTTTTCAGTAAGATACTGGTGTTCAGTCAAAAAAAGAAAATCAAATGTCATCAGCATTGAAACTATTTTGTTGAATCTGGTGACTTTAACTACATTTTTTACCCAGAAAACATACAAGTTGTTTAGAACTTTCTCGTTTCATTTAGATAATGCTGAAACCTTACATTTCATTTCATGTTGTTTCCACTTTTATATTAACATTAAAATTACTACTTGAATATGTCTAATTTTTATGTAATGTTTTTTCTGTTTTGACATTATCAAAATGAAACAATGATATTTCTAAATCAATTTTTTTTTAAATTTTCATTCTGTAGGAAATTGTCACTTGTCTTTTATACCAATTAAAATTTAAATAAATTCAGTGCTGGAATTTTCCACAAAATGGAAATTCAATTTTCTAAACTCTCTGCTTAACTCAGCACCCAAAAATGGGGAAGATGGGTACAGATTAGAACAGGGATGGGGAACCTAAGGCCCAGGGGCTGCCCCCCCCCTCCCAAGGCTTAGGGCCTCCTCCAGCATTGGG